TTTAATATCTTTGGGTTGTGGACAAAACAAGACATTTGAGGACATTTTACGGTCGGATTAGACCGTACCCTAACAGTTAATATACAAGCAAAAATACTTGATAATGTTGCACCTTGGGAATTAATACAAATATCACTTGAATCGCACATCCCTATTTTGCGTGACACCTGAATTGTTTTCTGTCAGACAGGTCAGTTGACTAATTTATCCATTTCCACCTCACAAACCTCATTAATCACTTCATTAATCATAAAATGCATAGGTGCCAGCACAGACCAACAACAGTGTCATATCAGCTGCTTTTTGAGGACAAGAACTAACCTTCAGGGGAAAATCCACTAAATAAATCACTTGGTGCTGCTTTTAAAAGACTTATCACAGCGGATCTCAGCTGGAAACATCACACTGCACATACCTCCTCACTCTGAGAAGCAAATACTTCCTGAGGCTATACAGCTGTATACTCATAGTCATAATACTGTCTGTCTCTGTTTCACATACAACACACATGTTTATGTTCTGACAGATTGAAGAGATTGATTTAATGAAAGCCATTCATATTAAGATTAGGAATGTTTATGGCTCTCTTCGAATGGCAAAAATCGTCCAGCGGAAACCGTATTAATCAATTACACACACAGACTGCAGCGTGGCCACAGGCCTAGAAGGTTTGTGAAGTTTCATTTCTACATGGTGACAGTGTGTGGCTGTATGGATTGTATTAAGCTGTAGTTTGCAGTACAAAGCTCCCTGGAATAGTGACAGAGAAGCTGCATGGAAGAAGGCAGCCCAGAGAAATGCTGCTAATATATTGAGCCCCTGAAAACAAAGAAAGCAGTGCATGAACAAAGCTTAGTAAAGCGGCCTGATGTTCACTGCTGTCATGTGTCACTGTTCTGCTGTAGAGCTGAACACATGAGACTTGGACTGGGGAGAAGATTTAAGTCACAAAAATTAGTTCTTGAGACTTAATTCCAAGAGGACTGGACTTCAGACTTAAAAGCAAAACTAGTTCTGACCAAGTAAAATCCAGGAATTATAATAAAAAAGGCTGCATCAGACAGGCCTTGCATACCCAGAAAGCTTGGATATTTAAGTAAGGAAAGCATTAAAATGGCATGATCTCATCTCATCTGCTCATCATGCTCTGTTATTTTGATACTCTGCATTGAGAGACCTGAAAGACTTGCAGTGGACTTGGGACTTGATTTGGAACCTGCTTTGACAAGAAGTTTTAATTCGCATTGATTCCCAGACAGGAGGATTTTAATACTGCAGCATAAATCAAACAGAATCATATTAAAGTACACAAGACAGAGTTTTCAACACATGGCTGTGGTTTTCTGAAACATACATACAGTATAGAGGGGTAAGTAGAGAGTAGTTAAGGAGGGTGAATATGTCATATTGAAAAGAAACAAAGCAAGAAGTCACATGGGTAAAGGCCATTGTTCTAGTATTCAGCTAGATTCATGGGTTTGGCCTGAGAACACAGAATCCCAGTATGTCGTGTGTTACAGTAAACCCCCTCCTTCTCTGACTCGTCTGCAGCCAGCTTACTCCTCCTCTGAATGTTGTGTTGTCTGAATCAGGGTTCAGAGGCAGGTTGTGGTTTTTCAATCGAGATGTCTCCACCTGCGCATGAAACACTTTTAATCAGTGATGAGTGAATGATGGGGAAATGCGCCAGACATGTATAACTGGCAAAATCACAATTTGCTTATACAAATTCCAATAACAAAATAAGTCAAGCTGATCATCTCTGATTATCTCTAAACTTTCTTTGCCTTTGTGTTTGCAGGAGTTCAGGGGAGCGCTGAGTGTTCATGTGGGAGGAACCACTTCACGTGTAAGGTCAGTGCGTTCGGGGAGTGTACCTGCATCCCGGCCCAGTGGCAGTGTGATGGAGATAACGACTGCGGGGACCACAGTGACGAGGACGGATGCAGTGAGTTCGCAGTTCTCAACTTTTCACGTCATCCTCCTCTCTTTTTATTTCTATCTCACTGTAACTTACCCTTAATAAGAATATTTGACTCTTGAAACTTCAAACACTGAAATCTGACCAGGACATTTGTTATTAACTTTAGTGCTTGGCAATTGTTGATGCACAATGCTATAGACACATTTTGGTCGGTACCAAAACAGTATTAAGTAGGGTTGTGCTGAAAACCAGTTTGATATTAAGGCAAATACCAGACTGGACAGGTAATACTGAATCTTACCACTAGGTGACTCAACCTCTTCCAAGTGGAACATAATGAGAGCCCATAAATGAGAGTAGAGTTGCAACCACAGCAGGTTTCCTGCAAATGTTTCACAATAAAAGCCTTGTCAAGAAATGAAGGGTTTCTGTCTACTGAAATACTAGAGGGCTTTACATTTGGACACAGGAAGTGTTGAGATGGTGTTAACGGTGTAATACAGTAACTTTAACAGGTCAAATTGCTCTAAACAAGCAATATTTCCGTTTCAGTCTGCTAACGTTACACTACTGACTGTACTGACAAGCATAGCTGGTTAGCTACCTCGCTAGCTACGGTTGTGATGATGAGTTATATTAGAGTATTGGAAAGTGTAAATAATGATGTAATTATTTATCAACTTACCAGCAATATAGTTCACAAACTAGTTAGCAGCTTCCAGTAAAGACTCTGCACCACCATCTGCTCAGCTGTGATGGGTACTCTGCTACACTAAAGGGTTGACATCGCTCAGAGCTGCTCCCTGTGTCTTTTTAATTAGTCAGACTGTCTCATAATGACAAATGCGTAGAATCAAACTGGATTAAGTTCGTTCAATGGACCGAAACAAGCAAAACCGGATACCTACCCAACCCTGGTATTAAGGTTAGATACCCAGCCTTAGCCTCTGTCTTGCTACTGTTTTTCTTATAGGTATTCGATTTGTACTAATCTAATTTTAGTTTTAAAGATCAGATTTAAAAATCAAACTTGACTTTGTTGGTTTAACCAGCTTGACAAGTGTGGTTGTAAGGAGTAACTCAGCAGTTCTCCACTAAATATTGCCATGGTCCCCTTGAGCAAGGCCTTAAATTCCTACCACTCAAACAAGACTTCGGTTTTGCTTGGCAGCTCCCTGGTACAAATTTGTGTACTTGCATGGCTTCTGAATTTTTACTAGGGAGGTAAAAAGTGGGCTCAGGCAGAATTTTCCTGCATTAATACTCTACAATAGTAAGAAAAAAATATAATTGGGCCCATATGGATCCCATCATCACCCAGTGAAACAGTGAATGGGTCACTGGTCCAGGCGGGGTAGTATTTCTGATGCAGAGGCAGAACGAGGCGCTCTGCGTGGTGTATGCCCTGTGCAGAAAAATGCTTGAGTGACTTTTGGCACCAGACGGCGTTTGGCTGGAGGGAAGTCTTGGCAGCCGAGCTAGACAGGAGTATTTTCCTGCAGAGTATGTCAGTTTGTCAAGTGGAGGAGATCTTCACTGCTCTTCTTTCACACTTCTCTGTATTGATGTGAAATGTCAGTGTCGGAGTCTTTTTTTCTTTTTCCTGCTCGCTCATAGAGCAGAGAAGCAGACGCTACCCTTTTATTTGACACTTCCTAAGCCTCTTAGAGAGGTGCGTGTGTTGATATTCTTTCCCCATCAGTCTTCCTCTGTCACATTAAGCTAGTTAGGGCTTGGGAGAGGGCATGCTAAGTGTTATTGATCTTTGGCCAGTTGAATGTTCAGTGAGTCTGATCGCCACGTATTGATCTGTGGTATGTTACTTCTTTAAGGAGACACATGGAAGCGGCTGACAGATATCAGAGCATCTAGCTGGTCCTTCCTAATCCATTAGTACTGTCTGATCGATCCTCTGCTCCATAGCTTTGGAGTCGGACCCTCTTTCTCTTGGACTCATTCCAGTCAATCTCATAATCGCGGCACTCATATCATGTTGTTGTAGTGGCCAGCCACTGAATACTGCAGCTGTAACCCTTCAGTGTGTATTCACACATAAATGTACTGCCCTTCTACTGCCTCAATAGTGGGTGGCACTGTGAAGAATGAGTATACTGGTACTGGAAAAATAAATTGCCAACCATTCTGATACTCATTTAGGGCATTTATCAAACGAAAATGCCAAACATTCTCTGCTTCCAGCTTCTCAAATGTGAAGATTTTTACTATCTGTCTGCAGCCTCTGATAAGGATTTGCAAATAGAAGTTGATTTGTTTCAAGGGGACACAAGCCGAAACAAGGTTGTGCACTAATGTTACGGACTTAATAATATATTGATTAATCACCTACCACCTTGATACAGTATGAACATGAACATGAATTTTATGGAGTACGGTCTAGTAGCTGCTCTATTCGAAAAGTGTCCAGAGATAACCTCTGTTATAATTCGGCACTATACAAATACAATTGAATTGAATTTAAAAAACAACCATATAAGACCTTCTTTGTATTTGCTGAGGCTTGTACTAAATGATTGGTAGGGTTGGAGGATATATCAGTGCCTCCTGATATTAAATTAATTAAATTAACTAGAACAAGGTGGTTGAGTTCATTGCTTTGTGTTTCTACAGACTCTTCCACACTGAATCTAAAAGTTTATGTATGGTTATCAGCTGTGGGGCAAAATGTTGTTTTATATTTTAAGTCAGGAAAATCATGCAAAATCGTTATTGTTAGGAAGTTATCCTTATTAACCTACTTCAATTACTATCAATTAATCTGCAGATTATATTTCTAAATAGTCTTTTGGTCTATAAAATACAAAAAGGGGATAATTTACATTTTCCCAGAGTCCAAGTTGACAAGTCGAAATAACTTATTTTATCCGAAAAACCCAAAGATATGTTTATTATCATTCAAAACCAGAACATTTTATTTTGACATTTTTGCCTTATTGTTGAAACAGTTCGATTCAATTTGTGTCAGTCGACTAATCGATCAGCGAACTTCTATTAACAGCATTTTAACACCCGTCCTGTGCGTCTTTGGCGTCTGTTTCTCTTCCCGTTGTCGCTGCAGAATGACGGGCGGCTGCGCTTCAGTAAGCAGAATGTGGTGTATAAGAGCAGCAAGACGGGGAAGGTGGACAGCATCCCGGCTAGTGAGCTCAACGCAGCCCAGTGGAGACGAGTGTGTTTAGGTCACGGCATCAAGCTGAGCACCAGCACAGGACACGTCTACAAATACGACGGCTTCAGGGACACGGTGAGTGTGGGGTTTTTTTGTATGTGCATGTCATTGTGCAGTAAATCAGTGGTTTTACAGGTTTTTTTTTTTTAGGTTTTAGAAGGCGGATCAGCTCTTGAGCTTCCTTATTGTTATTTTTCCAGTTGTGATACTGTTGGTTTCTAGCTGAGTGAAAGGACCCAGAGGTATTTAAGTAAATTCTCTAAACGTTGTTTTCTTTAGCAGAGGAAACTCCTGACCATCCTTCAGATACGAAAAGAGACAAACTGTCCCACATTTCCTCGCGCCAGCCACATTTAATAAGTCCGTTCACAAATACAAACGATCAAAATGACCAACAAAATAAACTTCTAAGTTACCGTCCTGTTTTTTTTAAATGTAAAGACTTAATATGCTTCTATGTTTTGAACTACTGCTGTAAAATCTACTTGTTATAAAGTGGTGGTCCTGTGTGACACACTTTGTATAAATATTATTATATTAAAATGATCAATTGAAGTTTAAATGTTATAGCGTTGGCATTAGTTATTCCTCATTTTGGGCTTTGTTGTATTGTGAGGAATATCATTTAAATATTTTAATTGTTCTTCACTCACAGATGCTGAAATTTAAGAACCATCAGAAGTTTTTTTGCCAAGTAGGTTTTCACATGAAGTGAGTTTGCCCTGGTATATTTGTCCATAACAATAAACATAGGACAAGAGAAACAAGGACTGCAATTCAAGAAGCATAAATAAAAAAATAGAAAAGTAAAAAATGATGAATGAATCAAGACAATCATAGACAATCTTATTTTCTCTTGCTCTTATTTTAAATATAAGTTGTACAGTTTGTGCTGGAATGTGCAAAAGATCACAGTATTAAGTATAAATATATATATGTGCAGTAGAAGATTTGTAGGCCTATTAAACACGTTATGACTAGTATCTTTTTGTTTTTAAATTTTAGTTCCAACCTTGGCACTGAAGTCATATTTTTCACTGAGTCGTCTGCGTGTGTATGTCGCCTGCATGAAACAACACGTTAAGAGTGCAGGTGCGAAGTATCTAAAATGCGCTTTTTGTAGCCAACGATCGTAACGATGTAGTTTCACCACAGCAGACACAAATCATCAACATCCACCGTCGCATAATTACACAGCGCAGCAAAGTGCGGTCGGATTCTGTCAGTGCCGCGGTTGTCTTTTCCTCAGTCCTTTCAGGTCGAGGAAGAGTGTTGAGGAAAGCCCACAGGGCCTACTTATTTTTCTTTTTGACAAATTGACCCTAAATCTTTCTCCCTGGTTGAATTTTTCTGTTTCTGGAAAATAATTGTTACCTTACTCAGAGGGAGAACAAGGCAACAGTGGAATATTACAGACTGACACACACACACACTGCTGGTTTGTTCAGCGCTGTGTTTATGACGAGGGGTGTAACACAAGCAAGGGGACCGCCGATAAACAACTTCCATCCCTTGTCTGACATTTCCATGTAAAACGCTACCATCTTGTGAAAAACGGCCACCGCTTGAGTGCGTGTGTGTGTGTGTGTGTGTTGCTATCAAAAGTATGTGAATGAGTCGGCTCGTCTCTCCAGAGCTCCTAATGGGATTAATGAGGGAAACCAGCGCTAGCATGTGTGTTCCATAAACATTGTAATCATCGGCTCATGTGAGTCAGTGTTTATATCAATCCACTGAAACAATTTGCCTCAGCAGACAGACAAGGGAAAAAAAAATTGTGGTCGTGTTTGTTTTTTATCACCCCATTTTTTCTCCTCTTTCCCCCGTTGCTCGGAGTGTATGGGGAATGTCAGCACGCAAGTTTAAAAACTAGGACGGAGGAGTCGGGTACAACCTGGAGCCTGTGGCTGTGAGCGGTGGCGGCGGCGTCTCCTGGGGTTAATCAGCGTATTTTTTTGGAGATGGATCCTCTCGTCCCGGGGAGCGCAGGGCGTGATGTCATTGTTTATTATCCCACAGCCAGTGTCGGTAATCGGGAGTTGGCTGGAGGTTTGGCTGCTGGCGAGCTTTACAGAAGCTTTGATGCATCTGTCCTTCCGAAGTGTCCTTGAGCAAGACATTGGATCTCTGCCAGCGGGGCTGTTAATGTAGCTGACCTGTAATTGTCTGCTGGAGTGATCAGGGGGTGTTCATGACACTTACACGTGTAGTGTGCAGCTGGCCCGAGACATCGTTTACATTAAGAGGCACTGAACACGCAGCAGCCGGCGTGGTTGCATCTTGGTAACAGGGCTGGGTATCGAACCTTTTAAACCTTTGTGGGACGGACCAAACAACAAATTGATTAATCTATAAAATAATTGTTGCAGTCCTAATGAAACATTCGCTCAGATTGTTCTCCTTAACAAAATAAAATAAAAGACTGAGTGGTCATGTCTTATGGTAATTGGTATAGAATAACACTAAGTTGCTGTAATCTGTATTTTATTTCCACAAAGCTCCTGTAAAGCTGCTCATTATTACACATTTTAGAAGCGGCTTCTTTCGTTAAGAGAACAAAAGGCTTTTGTCGAAAAACGTGTTTATGTTCCTCAAAGTACGTTTTATACTAGCACCAAAACTCTGGTATTATACCGGCAAGATTTGCTGGAATATCAGAAACTTTTATGCGAGTCTTGAGACTGTAGCGCAGCACCACATGACGCACACTGGCATACTCTTTACCTCATACATAATCATTAGAAAAAGGAAACAACAAAGATTTTCTTGACTCGTATGATAAGAATTTGATCCATTAGGTCCAATAAAATTTAGAAAACTCTTGCAGGAACCTTATAATGAAATAATTTTATTCCATTAATGTGTGTAGGCAGCCAGCAGCAAGTTATCTGGCTAAAGATGCAGAAAAAGGAACGCAGTCTCCAGTTTGTCTTAATATATCCATGATTTCAATAAATGAGAAGTTGAGGGTTGTTAGGAGAGCATGGTTGAAAAATGTAGTGATAAAAGGCAGATGGGGTGGTTATGTTGGGTAACACTGTGTGTGTGTGTGTG